ATCCGGGAATATTTGCTTGGACATGCATTAGAGAATTGCCCTGAGGTCCCCCCCACCCAGGTTTTAAAATAAGGGCAGAGAGGCATGGGAAGGACATTTCCCTGCCCTTCACAGTCTTTACTCAGAAAACCTCGCGTCTGTGCAGTCAGTGGCCTGTTTACTTAGCCCCAGTTATCAACTAACCTTTGAGGAGGCTGGCTGCTAGTTATGAAGCACAGGAGCTGCTCCTTCCTCCAAGAACCCCAGGCTCCCTGGGGACTGTTCTCCTTTCTTCTCACTGCTCCTGAACCCAGAGGCTGGGGATCCACCTGGGAAGGAGGAGGCGTCCTCCCCAAACTCGTCTCTGCCTCAGCATCCCATTGGGAAGAGACATCACCCCATCCCAGCCCCCTGCCTTTCTTTTTAGGACTGGTACCTTTCCAAGGGGACTCCTTGACTCTACACCCTGATTGAGGGCCCCACCCTGGAGTCTGGAAAGCCTGGCAAGGCCTGTGGAGTGACCTTGGACTGGTCCTTTCTCTCTGCTGGGATCTCTCCTCTGAGCCAAGAGGGGAGGCCAATCCCAACCTTGCCAGGCCCACTGCCAGATGATGACGATTTCAACGGGGAGATGACGATGAAATGATGATGAGATGATGATGCCACCGAGCATCTGTTGTTCTCAGCGTTTTTCTCTGATGCATCAGCTCATGGCAGCCCTGTGACATAAGTCCTCATAGGTGCGCTCTTTGACAAATAAGAATACTGAGACTCAGGGGGGTGAAGTGTCCAAGATCATCCAGCTTGAGGAGGCAGAACCGGAACTTGAATCCTGGCCTTCTTTTTCCTCAGTGCTCACCCCGTCTCAGCATGGGCGCGTGGTTTCCCTGAAGCTTGAGCATCACTAGTATACATCACTCCCACGGGAATGTACCCAACAGAGCCTTTCCTGAGGGCCCTGGGTTGATCCCAAGTTACTGTCACCAGGGCAGTGATCTATCTCTCTTCTTATTGGCTTAGGGACTGGTGGAGCCCTGAGGGTCTAACTTATTTCCTTCCTGGGCAGTGTCAGCCAAGCTGTGGTCTCCTAAGACCTGATATAGATCCTGGGGGCAGGGCAGGGGTCCTTGACCGAGGCCCCCGAAGTCAGAACCTGAGCTTGCAGGAGGATGGAGCTGCCCATTGATCAGTTCTGATTTCAAATCATAAGGATTTCAGAGTTGGAAGAAATGGACCTCAGGGTTCAACATACCGAGGACCCAAACGAGGGAAGGGACAGCCCCAGAGTTACTTCTCAAAGAAGAGGCAGGTGGAGACTCAAGGCTGGCGAAGAGACATTCCAAGCATTGGGACTGAATGGCCCTTTGTGGATGGTTGAGATGGACCTGATTCCCATTGAGCAGATGTGCAAATCAAGACTTTCTGCGGAAGTGAGGGCAAGAGAGCAATGTGGGCCTCGTCAGGAGGGGGGCGCTGTCTTCCTTCTCCCCTCTTGGTGGAGCCCAACAGTCAAATCAGTGGGGCCTGGGTTCAAACCCTGGTTGTGCCAGCATCCTCACTATGGCCTCGGACAAGGGCCTGGACTGTTCTGAGCTTTAGTTTCCTTCTCTGTAAAATGGGGAAACTCAGGGCTGATTGTAACCATATCAACTGTTAAAATATTGAGATACTTCCAGATTTGGTTGGTAGAAATCTGCTCTTCCAAGACACTGGCTGCTCCCCAACTCGGGGCATGTCTGGGTCTTCCCAGACACCCCCAAGTTCTACTAACTAAAACGGAATCACCAGGTTGGTGAAGGGGACCAGAATAGTGCTCTAGTAATGGGGCTGAATTGTTACTGTTGCAGGGCCTGCTCTGTACTGATGGTCAAATATTTTTAAAAGATATTTATTTATTTTTTATTTGGCTGCATTGGGTCTTAGCTGTGGCATGCAGGCTCAGTTGCTTCTCAGCATGTGGGATCTTAGTTCCCTGACCAGGGATTGAACCTGTGTCCCCTGAATGGCAAGGCAAATTCTTAACCACTGGACCACCAGGGAAGTCCCTGGTCAAATATTTTGGAATATGCCTCCTAGGGTTAACGATAATGGCTTGTAGGATTATTAGAAGGATCCAGTGAGTTAACATCTCCCATAAAATGACCAGCAAACCTATTAGTAATAATATTAATAACAGCAACATGCTCCCCCCCAAAAAAGGGGAGGAAAAAAAAAAGGAAAAAAAAAGGACAATAAAGGAAAGAAGAAAACAAAAAAACAACAAAAACAGGCCCATTGTCCTTCTTTGGCTTCATTGAATAGCCTCTGGCTTGCCCCCCAGGCCCCTCAGGACTCAGTTTCCCCATCTCCATGCTCTTTAGGGCCCTCCCCTGCTCCCAGTGGCCAGCTTGGCAGGTGGGGCTCTATCTGCCCAGCCTATTTGCTCTCCCTCTCCCGGGGCTGACACCCTAGACAAGGCCCTTGAATAAAAGGCCAGGGCACCTTGGTCCTTCTTCCTCCTCTCCAGCCTGGATCATGTTCTGGCTCCTCCCTCCTCTAGTGCTCCTGGGAGCACTGGCAGTCCCGGAAGGTAGGTGCATTGTGTGTGGTTCCTCGGACAGGGAGAGGGTGATGGGAGTCTGAGTGCCAGCTTCTTGTACCTTGGCTTTTTGTTCGGCAGAGGCAGCTGGAGGGGGTGCTTGAGAGCGTAGTTCTGGAGCCAGGCTGCCTGGGCTCAAACCCTGGCACGGCCACTTCTTAGCTCTGTGACCTTGAGCAAGCCACTTAACCTCTTTGTGCCTTGGTTTCCTATCTGTGAAATGAGGGTGACAATGACTCTGCCTCGGGGGGTTCTTGGGGGCAGGGCATTCACTGAACTAATGTGTTAGAGGGGAGAGAAAAGTGCAAAATTAAATAACTTGAGACTTCTAGGTTTTCTTTAATTAACAGTAACCTTTTGGTGTTCAACTATCTGTTTTTGGTTTTTTTTTTGCAAAAACTCCTACACTGTACTATATTCCAGAAAACTCCTCCCTTATGTTTTTGGAACAGTCCCTCAGAGCTATCTAAGAGGCTGTATCTTGGGCTTAAGTTCTCAGGAATGTCCCAAATAAAACATAATTCTCAACTTACAAAAATTTTTGTTTGAAGAGATTTTTAAGCACTTAGAACAATATTAGGCCATAAGTGGCCTTGCCTGAAGGTGAGCTATTATTATTATTAATAACTTATTATTTCTTTACCTCACCTGCCTATCTTCCCTCTGGTTATGATTCTGCTACCTTTGGCTCAGGGTAGATCTTCTCTGGTAGTTCAGAGGGTAAAGAATCTGCCTGCAATGTGGGAGACCAGGGTTTGATCCCTGGGTCGGGAAGATCCCCTGAAGAAGGAAATGACAACCCAGTTCAGTATTCTTGCCTGGAGAATGGGGTCACAAAGAGTCAGACACAGTTGAGCAACTAACACTTTCACTTTGACTCAGGGTAGGAATTAAATGGCCAAGACCCAGCCTGGGACCTCATAGTGTGATCTTGGGTTAAGACTCTTAAGTCCATCTGGTTTCAGTTTCCTCATCTATAAGTAGACGGTGTGAGTCAAGGTCAGCCATACACCTTTTCAGGGTGTGTGTCTTAGAGCCTTGAGATTTCTTGGAAGAGCCTCAGAGAGACGTCTTGGGGGTTAAGACCCCCTGGACAGCCGGGGTGGTCCTCAGCACAGCCGATGAAGGGAAATGACACTGTTTTTTTTAAAAAGAAAAATGATTTATTTATTCTTGGCTGGGTCTTTGGTTGCTGCAGGAGACTAGCGGGGGCTACTCTCACAGTGCGGCGTGCGGGCTTCTCATTGCGGTGGCTTCTCCTGGATGGCACTAGCAGTGTTACCCCACAAGGTCTTGGTGGCACGGCCTCTGGGGTGTCAGGACTTCAGTCGTTGTGGCTCCCCGGCCCTAGAGCACAGGCTCAAGTTGTGGCACACGGGCTTAGTCGCTCCATGGCATGTGGGATCTTCCCAGACCAGGGATAGAACCCATGTCCCCTGCATTGACAGGTGGATTTTTAATCCAGCGCCTTAGACCGCTCGGCCACGCTACCACGTGACAGGTGGATTCTTAACCCCTGGGTCACAAGGGAAGTCCAGGAAATGACTCTCTTTATTTGTTCAATTCTGGACTTGGTGGAGGGTAGGGGGTGGGAAATGTTTGGAGAAAGGGTTCCATGGTGAGAATTGGTAGATTACATGCAGACTGTCCTAAGCTCCACCTTGGAGATGCTGATTTCAGCTCCCAATCTTTGCCCGCAATGTTTCACCCACCTGGAAGGCCATTCACCCACCACCAGGAAGATGTTCCTTGATCTTCTCCCAACAGCCCTCCCACCACTGTTAGTTCTATTGGAAGCACAGAGTGTTAGTCACTGGACCGCCAGGGAAGTCCCTCTTAGCTCTTTTCTTGACCTGTGTGTCTGTGTGTGAGTGTGTGCATTTGTTCTCCTCTTTTCCTTCTCAAATCTCAGGGTATAATCCCCCCTCTCTCCTCACAGGGACAGCCAAGATGTGTCCAGTCTGCCCTTTGCTGGGAAAGTGCACGGAGAAAACCTGTCCTCCGGCCCAGGACTCCTGCTTGCTTAGCCAGTTGCAGCTGGGTGGGAGATTGGCCAGCCAGGGTGGGGGGTGGGTAGGGAGGATGGAGAAAGTGGGTGGGCAGGGGTTGAAGGAGAGTGGCCTGGACCAGCTCCTCTGGGACTGAAGGTTTCAAACTTCACCTCATAGCTCAGCTAGCTCAGGGCTACTGGGATGGGAGTGGGGAGGTGGGGGTGAGGGGTGGTCTCAATACCATCTGAAGCCCCAGACTAATCTGTGGGGATTGCTCCAGAGGGGGCAGAGGTCCCAGAGGGCTTTGGGGCAGGGGGGTCTCTAACTTCCCATCCTCAATTTCTGTCACCAGCAAATGGGACTGTCATCAAGAATGGGTCCTGCGTGGCCCCTGGGGACTGCCAAAAAGATGTCTACTCCTTGACCTATGGTCCCGGCTTGAGTCTCTGGATCCGCACAGCCTGTTGTGAAGACAACTGTAGCAGTGTTACCCCACAAGGTCTGTTGGCCGGGCCCTGGGGGTCACACACCCTGGTGGGGTGTCGTGGGAACTTGGCCTCTGTCTCTGGTGCTGCCTGGCTGATTGGGACAAGAAGAACCTTGGTTTCCTCATCCAGAAAATGGGTGTGCAATAATTTGTGCAAGAATTGCAGACAGAGCAAAGCTGATACAGATAGGCACTCTATAAATTGTAGCTGTACTTATGGGGTTATTATGGGGGGGTGGTTGGCACTTAACAGAAGCCCCAGACTCTTCTTTCTCCTTAGGAGAGGGGTTGCCCGAAGGCTGGTCAAACAGAACAAGATGTGTCATAGTTGGTGATGGGCTCCTGTCTAGGGTCAGGGGAAATGCTCAGTTTGCTGATGCTGACTCTGCACTTGCTCGACCTTGTCAGTGAGCATCTCCTCGCTGGCTCCTTCCAAACTTGGCTCTGAACGGTGATAAAGATCACTTTTGCTTGGCTGTTTTTCCCAGAGAAGGAGTTTTGAATTTGGCAGGTGTATCAGTGGGGAGACTCCAGACAGCTCCACACTTGGGGCTAATAGCCATCCTTCTGGACCCCTGGGACTTCCCTCCTCCTAAACTGGGCACATCAACCAAATACAACATCCAGGTCTGAGCTGAGATGGGGGTATGCTAGTCAACATATAAATTGCCCATTAGGAGTATAACTGCATCAAACAAAACTCCTATGTGTAAAGAAAGGTTGTAGAGACTACTTTAGAATATTTGGAGCAATTGTCTCATTTTTTTCATTCTTTTAAAAATTTTTCTTTTAAATTTCAAAATACACATATCCATTACACATATCCATTCTTTTTCAGATTCTTCTACTGGTAATTTTTATTTTTTTGTTCCTTTACAAATTTTTAAGTTTCATGTTGGATTTACAATGTGTTAATCTCAGATGAACAGCAAAGTGATTCAGTCATGCATACACATATATCTGTTCTTTTTCAGATTCTTCTACTGGTAATCTTAATTGTAATTTAATTTTTATCTTTTGGCCATGCTACATGGCATATGGAATCTTAATTCCCTGACCAGGGATTGAACCCATGCCCTCTGTGTTGGTAGCATGGAGTCTTAACCACTGGACCACCAGAGAAGTCAATATTTTTACTTTATTGCTCTTTAAGATTTTGTTATATTTTTATATTTCATTTTATATTGCAGTATAGTTAATTTACCATGTTGTGTTATTTTCAGGTGTACTAAAGTAATTGTCTCTTGGTAGGGCTTCCCTGGTGGTTCAGATGGTAAAGAATTCGCCTGCAATGCGGGCGATCTGAGTTTGATCCCTGGGTTGGGAAGACCCCCTGGAGGAGGACATGGCTACCCACTCCAGTATTCTTGCCTGGAGAATCCCCATGGACAGAGCAGCCTGGTGGGCTACAGTCCATGGGGTCTCAAAGGGTCAGATACAACTGGCCTTTGAAGTGACTTAGCATACACACATGCAAGATGCTCATAGCTGTCTGTAGAAATAAACTGTGAGCCATACAGGGAATGAAAGCTTTTCTAGTAGCCACATTCAAAAGTAGGAAGAAGCAGGTGAAATTAATTTTAAGAATAGATCTTCGGGTACCATATCTAAGCTATTATTTCAACATGGGTGATAATCACTATAAAATTATTAATGAGATACTTTTACTTTCTTTTCCCAAACTAAACCTCTGAAATCTAGGGTGTGTTTTATACTCAGAGCACATCCCAAAGGGAACCACCCACAGTTTAAGTATTTAATAACCACATGTAGAGAGAAGCCATCTATTAATCAGCACAGTTCTCTACTTTTCTGTGTCTGCCAATGTTTCAGTATAAACCCATGTTAAAACAATCTGTGGCTGTTTTTGACTAAGGAAAAAAAATATGTTTAAATAGCTTCCTCTTGAATGTTCCATATCTCTAAGAAAGCTCTGAACACTAATCAGATGGTGGAGAACCTGGAATTAACCAGATGGTGGTGAACTACTCTTTTGTAAAACACCACAATATTTTAAAACCTAAAATAACAGGATCACCTTTTCATCACATTTGGAATTTGGGGTCTTAGAGGGAGGGCTTTTGTCTGTGTGGCCAATATCTTGAAAACAGGGCCTGGCACACAGTAGGTGCCCAAGACATGTTTGTGGAATGAATGAAAGAACCGTTGGACTTCAGCCTGAAGGTTTGCTTAGGACAAATGAACAACATGGGGCCAACTCCACCTTTGATTCTGTTCACTGCTCCTTGGAATAAATCTTCAAGGACCAGAAGGTGGTATCTCAGACCAGACTGGTCTCACTTTGGAGGAAGATTGTGGTGGGTGGAAACAGCAAGAACAGAGGGTGGGAAAGAGGGATGAAAGGAGGGGTCTCCCTCAGCCCCATCTCACTCTCATTACAACCACTCCCATCAGAAGCAAGACCCAAAGCCCAGCCCAATGGGGTGCAGTGTCACTACTGTTCCATGAATGAGTCGGCCCTGTGTGACTCCCTTTCGGTCATGAACTGCACTGGAAACCAGACCGTGTGTTTCACCCTCAATGGGACATGGCATGGAGGTAAGGGTTCCCTTCAGGAGGTCAGTTGCATGGCCGGCCTCCACACTATCTGCACAAATCAGGGTGGAGGTTCATTTGCATGTGTGTTCTGGTTATTTACTGCTACTTAAATGTCTCTCACCTGTAGTGCCTTAAAAACCACAACAATCATTTTATTAACTCTTACGGTTTCTGTAGGTTGGGAATTTGGGAAAAGCTCATCTGGAAGGTTCTGGTCTCTCATACAGATGCAGTTAGAGAGTTGCTGGAGCTGACACTGAAGGGCAACTAGGGGCTTAATGAGCATCTCGTATGTGTAGAATCTGGGCCTTTCCATGTGTTCTCTCCACATTGGTTACATTGGCTTTCTTACAGCATGGCTGCCTTTATACAGTGGCTGGAGCTCCAATACATTGATTCATGCAATAAACAAGGCAGCAGTCGGGGAGTTGGCCCACCTCTCTCTCCGTGTAATCTCAAAGCTTCTGTGTGGCTTCTCTTCATTGGGCTTCCTCACATCATGGCTGCCGCATCTTTGCATGGCAGCTGAAGAGTTCAAGAGCAAGTGTTCTGGCAAACAGCGGGGCAGCTGCATGGCCTTTTATCACCTAGCCTTGGAATTCACACCCTGTCATGTCTTCTACATTTTATTGATCGAAATCATCACAAAAGACCATCTGGTTTCATTGGAGGGGAGGTAGAGACCCTCACCTATTGGTCTTAAAGAATTTGCACATGTAGTTTTATTTTTTAAGTTTTAAAAAACCAAGTTTATTATTATTAAGCCTTAGATATGCGTGCTAAGTCGCTTTAGTCATGTTTGACTCTTTGCGACTCTATGGACTGTGTAGCCCACCAAGCTCCTCTGTCCATGGGATTCTCCAAGCAAGAATACTGGAGTGGGTTGCCATTTCCTACCCCAGGGAAGATTTTTTTTTAATGTGGACCATTTTTTAAAAAGTCTTTATTGAATTTGTTACAATATTTCTTCTGTTTTATGTTTTGATCTTTTGGCCATGAGGCATGTGGAATCTTAGCTCCTCGATCGGAGATTGAAACGGCATCCTCTGAGTTGGAAGGTGGAGTCTTAACCAACGGACTGCCAGGGAAGTCCCTGCAGATGTATTTTTAAATCATCACGTGTTTGCAAATGGTTGGAGCAGAGGCTTTTTGAACAAAAGGCTTGGAACACAACCACACTGATCAGAGACTAGATTACCTGTGAAGAGTCAAAGAGAGAAGTGGTCTGGGCTTCTGCTCCTAGCAGTCTGGTGGACTAGATTCTCTGCAGGGTCTTTCTGTTACAAACAGTGGCATGCTCGGAGGGTGGGCATGAGAGGAACAAAAATGGTAGGAGTGGTCTACTCTGGTGCAGAGAGGTATTTATCACCACCACCATTTAGAAATGCTGGTGTATGATGATAATAAAAAGCAGACTGACTTTCAGTTGATTTTATTGTTTTTAACTGCTCCGCAGGCAATACACTCTAATTTTTTAGCCTGCTTCCAGGATGGATTGCTCCCACCACCCGTCCTCCTTGGTATGCCACTGTTTACAGATGAACTAGACGCTGTACAAAAGTTTCCCCATGATTTTGGGAGCTTGAGGGAAATTTCCAAGGGTCCCCAAAGGAAACTAAAATGTGAGCAGAAATCAGGAGATCAGTGAGTGAACATATAAGGCAAAGTGGCCCTGAGAGCAAATACTTATAACAGCCTGCTTTAAGGGACTTCCTTGGTGGTCCTATGTTTAAGACCTCACCTTCCAGTGCAGGAGGTGTGGGTTCGATCCCTGGTTGGGGAACTAAGATCCCATATGCTTCTCAGCCTGCTTTAAGTGACTAGATCTTGGGTCCACAGCATGGTTGGAGAGCTGACTCTTTAACCCCTATGTAAGTCAGGGATCTTGGAAGGAAGCTGAAATGATCCCAGGTTGGTAGAACCCCCGGGCTCTCAATATTTTGTTGTTCAGTCGCTAAGTTCTGTCTGACTCGTTGCGACCCCATGGACTGCAGCACGCCAGGCTTCCCTGTCCTTCACTATCTCCCATGTTTGCTCAAACTCATGTCCATTGAGTTGATGATGCCATCCAACCATCTCATCCCCTGTCTCCCTCTTTGCCTCCTGCCCTCAATCTTTCCCAGCATCAAGGTCTTTTCCAGTGAGTCAGCTGATCTGACTTATCTGACAAAGTATAGGCCACATGATCTCAGTATAAGCAAAGACAAATCCTCTCCAGGGAAAAGCTCTCAGGACTCCCACAGACTGACATCAACCCCATGTGAGCTCCCAATCCAGAGCCCATGAAACACACAAGGAAACAAGCCACCATGAGTGATAGCAGCGACAACAAACAACGGATATAGGTCCACAAGGAACTCAGCTATTACAATTAGCAGCCACAGAACATAGTGTAGTTATATGTGACTATATGAAGGAATAAAGTTAGAATCCTTCAAATGAGTGGGCATCAAGAGGTTGTTAAGAAATGACCAGATAGGTTTGAAAATGAATCATACAGAACAATCAAGAGAGCTGGAAACTTTCACACAGAGAAAGACAGACATCAAGTTGGGAAGGCTCAAGCTCTGAGTCTCCCCCGCCAGCTTTACCTTGTTTCTACAGGGACCCCCCAGATCCTGAAAGGCTGCGCTACACCAGAGATCTGCCACTTGCAAGCAAACACCACCCTGGGCCCGGAAGCGTCTGGATTTCATCTCATCACCAAGCCCGAATGCAACAGTGTGACTCCCACCACCCAGCCAGGTGCTTTGAACCCTGACTTCCTGAGACTCTACCCTCTTTGCCCTCTCTGGGTCCCTAATGCCCTTCCTGATCTTACATGTTCCCAAGTATCTCCTCTCCCTACCATCAAGCTCCCAGAGAATGCAATTACTCATATGTGCGCAGGCGCGCGCTCACACACACCACCACACAGATGCACACAGACGCACTCACACTGCCTTACACCTGGATGCAGAAAATCCCATTGGCACACATCCACAGACCATCTACACTTACATCCCAGCACCCAAAACACGCCTGCAGAGGAGCACGGACTTCAAAACGAGCACATCCTGTTGTGTAAGTGAAATTCGAGATCTAAACTCAGTTTAGAAGAAATCTGGTGGTCTTTTCATTTTCTTCACTTCCTGGCTTGTGAAAGAAGACAGATTTGCCAACAGTCTTCTTTTGGCTTACCAAAGAGCATTGACAATACTTTCTGTCTTCTAGAAAAGAGAGATGCTAATTTAAATAGTATTTACCAGGTCAACAGTTTGTGGGTTTTTTTTTTTTAATTTTTATTAGTTGGAGGCTAATTACTTTACATCATTACAGTAGTTTTTGTTATACATTGAAATGAATTAGCCATGGATTTACATGTATTCCCCATCCCAGTCCCCCCTCCCACCTCCCTCTCCACCCGATCCCTCTGGGTCTTCCCAGTGCACCAGGCCCGAGCACTTGTCTCATGCACCCAACCTGGGCTGGTGATCTGTTTCACCCTAGATAATATACATGTTTCAATGCTGTTCTCTTGAAACATCCCACCCTCGCCTTCTCCCAGAGTCCACAAGTCTGTTCTATACATCTGAGTCTCTTTTTCTGTTTTGCATATAGGGTTATCGTTACCATCTTTCTAAATTCCATATATATGTGTTAGTATACTGTAATGGTCTTTATCTTTCTGGCTTACTTCGCTCTGTATAATGGGCTCCAGTTTCATCCATCTCATTAGAACTGATTCAAATGAATTCTTTTTAATGGCTGAGTAATATTCCATGGTGTATATGTACCACAGCTTCCTCATCCATTCGTCTGCTGATGGGCATCTAGGTTGCTTCCATGTCCTGGCTATTATAAACAGTGCTGCGATGAACATTGGGGTGCACGTGTCTCTTTCAGATCTGGTTTCCTTGGTGTGTATGCCCAGAAGTGGGATTGCTGGGTCATATGGCAGTTCTATTTCCAGCTTTTTAAGAAATCTCCACACTGTTTTCCATAGTGGCTGTACTAATTTGCATTCCCACCAACAGTGTAAGAGGGTTCCCTTTTCTCCACACCCTCTCCAGCATTTATTGCTTGTAGACTTTTGGATAGCAGCCATCCTGACTGGCGTGTAATGGTACCTCATTGTGGTTTTGATTTGCATTTCTCTGATAATGAGTGATGTTGAGCATCTTTTCATGTGTTTGTTAGCCATCTGTATGTCTTCCTTGGAGAAATGTCTGTTGAGTTCTTTGGCCCATTTTTTTTTGTAAAATATCTATTTAATTTATTTGGCTGTGCCAGGTCCTAGTTGCAGCATGCAGGATCTTTAGTTGCAGCATGTAGGGTCTAGTTTCCTGACCAGGGATGAAATCCCGGGTCCCCCCGGATTGGGAGAATGGAGTCTAAGCCACTGGACCACCAGCGAAATCCCAGCAACAGGTTTTTAAGTGACAACTGAACAGAATTATAGACATTTCAGAGGAGCAAAGGTAATTTTCAAATCTGGATTCAGTGTCCCCTCAGCCCTGGTGGCATAGAAAATGCTCTTGTTAGAATCTGCACAGCAGACAGTCCTGTGATAAAGAAGATAGGTTTGCTGCATTTACAGGCAAAGCAGGAACAGTCTTACCTTTACTGTCCCCGATTACCAGCTGTTAGGCAGTTTACTTTTCAAACTAAGCAGAAGATTAAATGAATGGTGACAATGAAGAAAAAAATGGTAGACTTGAGAGCTAAAATTTGCAACGTGGAAAGGGGAAGAGGGCAAATTAGGGTTACTGACCACTGGAAGATGGGACATGGAATTTTTGTGGATACAGTCCTTGTGGATATATGACACATCTGTGCAGGGACACGTTGGTTGTCAGATCCAAACACATGGACTGGGAAAGAGACAGGTACAAACACAAATATTAACACACAAAAGTAAAAAATGTACACACACACTGAAACACTAAGCCAACATACACATCTGTGCACCAACGTGTATATCCAAGCACCCTAAACCTTGCTGGAAACACAGACTCCCTAGACCAGCCTCCTACCCAGACACATGGGCTTCCCAGGAGGCTCAGTGGTAAAGAATCCTCCTAACAATGCAGGAGACACGGGTCCGATTCCTCGGTGGGAAAGATCCCCTGGAGAAGGAAATGGCAACCCACTCCTGTATTCTTGACTGGGAAATCCCATGGACAGAGGAGCCTGGTGGGCTATAGTCAGGCACGACTTAGCAACTAAACAAAAACAGCAACATAGATACGTAAACACAGATATGCACATAGACACCCATACACAGAGGGGCTCACGAAAGCAGACACACAAGCATTCCCACCCTTCTTCAGACAATTCGAGAACACATCGAGTGCAACATATGCATGTATAGCCACATGACCACATGTGCACAAAGAAACAGGGCTGGATGCTCATACACACAAACTGCATCATCACAGAAGTGCATCCACACAGCACCGTCACAAGCATATAGCTATGTGCCCAGAAACGAACACACACACACACACACACACACACACACACACACCCTCCAGCCAGCTCATCTTCCTCTCTCCCCAGGTCCCTACACGGCCCACACCAAGGCTAAGGTCACCATGTGTTTCACCTGCTCAGACCTCCACCATTGCAACCCTCTCCCTTGCACTGAACACAGGAACCACTGCCTTCAGACGGTGGGCATCACAGGTGAGCGCCCCTGGGACGGGATGCGGGAGGACAGGCAGAAGTGGGACATAAGGCATCCAAGACCTCTCCTCGCCCTCCTGTGTTTGCTGCTTCAACTCCAGCCATGGTAACGCTTTCCTGGCCGTGAAGGACGGAGGTTGGCTGCAACAGAGGATGGGAGTTTAAAACCTGACGCTGCAAGTGTCATAGTTATTCTTGAATAGCAGAGCAGCTAAAAATATAGAAGCTTCACCAGGCACAAGAAGACAAATACTGTATAATTCCATTTACATGAGGTATCTAGAGTGGCCAAAATCATGGGAAAAGAAAGCAGAATGGTGATAGATTCAATTCTGCAAAATGAAAAATTCTAGAGATGTATTACCCAACAATGTAATATAGTGAACACTATTGAACTGCATGCTTAAAACTGGCCAAGAAGGTTTTGTATTATGTATATATTTTTTACCACTATGATTAAAAAAAACAAACTTCGTGACTTAACAGTGATTTGGGGAATTCCCTGGCGGTCCAGTGATCTGGACTCAGCACGTCCACAGCAGAGGGTGCCAGTGAAGGTGTAGGTTCAGTCCCTGGTGGGGGAATGAAGACGGCTCGTATTTGCTTCTCATGAACCTACCCCCTTCCAGTCCTAGGGGCAACTAACTCTGTCGCTTGGAGAAACGGCTCCTGCGTGGCCTCCAAGGATTGCATGCCTGACAACTCCATCTCTGCCTTGACCTACAGCCTCGGTTTTGGCTTCTGGGTCAACACTACCTGTTGCCAAGGCAACTGCCAAGAGCCCAGTCCTCTCGGTGCGCTGCCACCAGAACGTGGTCAGATGGGAGGCCGAGGAGGTGGTGGGGCGACTTTGGAGACTGAGGAGGGTGGGCACTCAATCCTCATTACCAGTCAGCTTGCCCTAAGCCACCTTGACTGCAGCTCCCTGGGCAAGCCCATTAAGGTCACCCCTCTGTAGTAGAGCCTATGAGCACACAAAGGACCCTGGGAGGTCCTGAGTGTCCTCGCGGCTGACCATTGCTCTCCCCTCTACAGCTGCCCTGCCAGCCTCAGGCACCCGGAGTAAGTTCCTGTGTCCCACATGTCCTGGGGGCCACTCGGGGCCCTGCAGCCCCGCCTTCTACATGCAGTGTCCCAGCAGGGAGACCGAGTGTATCCACGTGAACCTGGTGTCCGAAGTAGGTAAGATGTGTGTGTGCGTGTGCACGTGTGCACGAGTGAGTCTGAACACACTGGTTTTGGATACAGGCATGCCTGGGTTTGGGGGACCCAGTTCCATCATTGACCCTGTGTGGCCCAAGCACCTTCACCTCTTTTAGCCTCATTTTTATCTTCTGATAAATGGGGATGCTAGAAGCATACCTTATAGGGTTTGATGAGGATGAAATGAGTTCATGAGAGGTGATGGAGTAGAAGGCGGAAAGCAGGACTCTGGGGCCAGGCTGCTTGGGTTCAAATCCTCGCCCTTATGAACTGAGTGACCCTGGGCAGGGGACTTTCTTTGTCTGTGCCTCAATTTCCCCATCTGAGAAAGAGGCTAATCAAGGTCTCTTATCTGTTATGAATATTAAATAAGATAATCCATGAAGCTTCTAGATGTGTGCTGTCCAAAAGAAATATAATATCCACATATGCAAATTAAAATTGTTTACTAGTCTTCTGAAAATGGTAAAAGGTGAAGTTCATTGAATAATATCTTTTCCTCTGGCTTCTTTTTTTAACTTTAAATTGATTTATTTTTTAATTGAAGGGTAATTGCTTTACAGAATTGTGTTGGTTTCCACCAAACGAATAATATATTTTCAACCCAATTTACCCAACAGTTATCATTTCAACATGCAAATGACATAAGAAATGATGAATGAGATATCTTTTATTCATTTTTTTCCTACTAAGTCTTTGAAATCTCATGTGGGTTTTACTTTCATAGCCCATCCCAGTTCAAACCAACCACATGGCAGGAGCTCAAGAGCCACGTACAGCTAGTGGCTACTGTACTGAACAGCATAATTATAGAACATAATAAGGGCTATGTATGGCATGTCAGCAAATCTAAGGTGATGGTAAAACAGGAAGACAGTTGTCTTCCAAAGCGTTAAAAAATATATGTATGTATGTGTAGGTACTCAGAGGTAAAGAATCTGCCTGCCAAGGCAGGAGACTCGGGTTCCATCCCTGGGTTGGGAAGATTCCCTGGAGATGGAAATGGCAACCCGCTCCAGTGTTCTTGCCCGGGAAATCCTATGGACAGAGGAGCCTGGTGGGCTCCAGTCCATGGGGTTGCAAAGAGTAGAACACAACTGAGTGACTAAACAATGTGTGTGTGTGTGTGTGTGTTGGGGAATAGGGATTTGCATCTTGGAATTGATGACATTCAGTGTTAGTGGTTATCATTGTTATACGTGAATAAGGCTCAGGTGGACTAAATAGCTGTTTAATCAATCACTGTCCAGGGAAGGGATGAACTGGGGAAGTTGGTTTTTTGTGCACAGTGGGGTAAGTGTGTGGGTGTTTCCGGAGGAGGGGTGATACGGCAGTGGGCAGGAAGCCTGGGTATGTTTGTGTGGATTGTGCTCTGGTCTCTTGGGCTTCACATGGGCTGTGATTGAGATGTGTGTGTGTGCGTGTACATGTGTGGGTGGGTGTGCATGATGGTGGGTGTGGGACTATGACTCACAAACATGGCTCTTTGAGGAAGTGTACTCCAGTTCAGGGCAAGATGACATAAACTCAGACTGTGCTGTGAGGCTTACATTTCTTTTGAACTTTTGTATTATGGAGAAATTCAAAGGAAAATATAAGAGTAAACAGTTTAATAAGCCCCGTGGACCTTCCAGCCAACTGTGATCATTATGCACTCATGGCCGATCCTGTTTCATTTCTACCCAGGCCCCATGTTATTTTGAATATACGCAGAAATCCTATTACTCAACCATAAGCATTTCCACATATGGCTAAAAGATAAGGACCTAAAAATAACACCAACAGTTGATAAGTATTTTTCTGTTGGTGTGTACCTGCTGCTCAGTCAAGTCCAACTCTGTGCAGCCCTATGGACTACAGTCTGCCAGGCTCCTCTGTCCATGGGATTCTCCAGGCAAGCATACTGGAGTGGGTTGCCATTTCCTCCTCCAGGGGATCCTCCCCACCCAGGAATCCAATCCACGTCTCTTACCTCTACCTGCCTTGACAGGTGGTTTCTTTACCACTAGCACTACCTGGGAAGCCAGACTATTTCACTTTCGAATTTCTCACCAAGTCCTTAATAAACTGGTTACTCTGGTATATTTGCATTTTTATATAAATATATCACATTCTGTCATATTATATCACATAGGGCTGTGAGGAGCACAGGAAATAATTGGGAAACTGGTTGGAGGGATGTGTGAAGCCAAGTGGCCTCCAGGTGTCATAATATTTATTAATATTGAATACAAGTGAAAGAATACCTGTAACATATGAGTAAGATACAAAGAATAAGGAAAGGAAAACCCGTGACCAGTTCCAAATCAAGAATCAGAACACTGCTGGTAAGTTTTCCAGGAGGACACGGATGGACTTGAGGGCGGGCCATTCCCTCCGAGGTTGGCGCGCTCTTGGTTCCCCTTTCCACGTGACAAAGTCTTTTAGGAAGGCTACCCCGCGGGGCTGGAGGGAGTTTCCGGGCAATCTGTTGGATTGGAGGAACTCCCGGGGTCTGGAGACAGCGATGCGCCGCTGGTACCAGTGGTGAGGTACGTGCGCCAGGCGCGCGCTCGCGGGGCGCATCCTCGCGTCCCCGTCCCCACCCTCATCTCCGCAGGCGGCCGGAACCTGAGCGTGCGCGGCTGCGGCACCCGCGACCTGTGCCAGACAGAGGGTTTCCCGGCGCTCCCCGGCCACCGGCTGGCCGGCCCGCCCGTCTGCAACGCCCTCCAACGCGCCATCCTGGACCCCAAGTGCCACTCGGGCGCGGCACTTGGCCTCCGCCTCGCCCTGCCGGTGCTGACCGTCGCGCTGGGCACCGCGACCCTCTCCTGAGCCACCCCACCTGCACCCCGGGCCCCTTCCCCGGAGCCTCCTTGCTTGTTCCGCCAGATGGTGCCCTGGCGCCCCTCTACTAGGGCATTTCTAGAGGGTTCGAAGCTTCCGGTGAGAAAGTAAAAAAAAGCAGGGGTGAGCCTCCTCCCTCAGACTAAGAGATCCCCCAAAGCTAGTCCTCTTTCTTCCCGCTGAGACCCCAAAAGCTGTGCTTCTTCCCTCGGACTAGGGCTTCCTCAAATCTGGTCCTCTTTCCTCACCAAGGGCCTCAAAGGCTATGCCTCCTTCCGCAGACTAGGCTGTTTTCCTCCTCAGATGAGAGATGCTTCCATGGTTACACATTCTCCTTCGGATTGGGGGGGTCCAAAGAGTAAATAAACATCCTTCCTCAAACTAGGAGGTTCCCAATACTAGGCTACTCCCTCAGACTGTATCTCTTCTCAAGAACATTAGGAAACAGCTCCTCCATCTCTCTCCCTCTTCAGGGTCTAGCAAAGTCCTGGCAGCGGACCTGGGGCTTGAGGACAAAATACACGCCCTCCTCACGCTTTCAGAGCAGCCATTCCACCCCCACCACGGGCCCTCTTCAGTCTGGGCACAGTCTCTCCGCTGTGCTGTTTGTTGTTTAGTTGCTAAATTGTGTCCAGTTCTTTGCGACCCCATGGACTTCAGCACACCAGGCTCCCCTGTCCTCCACCATATCCCAGAGTTTGCTCACATTCCTTCCAATAAACATTCAGAGTTGATTTCCTTTAGGATTGACTGGTTTGATCCTAGCTGTCACCAAATCTGAATGAATCGCATTGCACAACGCCTCGTGGTTTGGATCTCCTTTTGCTGACATTGCAGCCTCAAGTGGGGCCCCTGATGTGGTCTCTCTCTGCTGGGGATTCAGATGGCAAGGTCTGGGAGCCACGGTGAGCATGAGATCAAAGGCTCAATGTGGAGTGAGCATCATTTCAGAGCAAGCTTTGGATCCAAAGGATGTAGCAGAGAGGTATAATAAAATCGAGGAGCTCACCGGAGGCAGAATGCCAGGAACATTTGCTTGCAGCTGAAAGTAATAGAAAGTCCAACGAGAAGAACTGAAACGATTCATTTAACAAAAATGTATTGATCACAATACTATACATCAAGCACAGTTGTAGACACGGGGGACACTGAGTAAACAAAATCTCCTGCTCTCAGGAAGTTTGTGTTTTTATGGGAGAGGAAGATAATAAACCTCTCATTTGGGTTTCCCTGGTGGCTCAGATGATAAAGAATCTGCCTGCAATACAGGAGACCCAGCTCCAATTCCTGGGTCGGGAAGATCCCCTGGAGAAGAAAATCTCAACCCACTCCAGTATTCTTGCCTGAAAAATCCCATGGACACAGGATCCTGGTGGTCTACAGTCCATGGGGTTGCAAAGAGTCAGATATGACTGACTAACACTTCGCTTCATGATATTCCAGATCATAATGAGTACTCTGGAGAACACAGTTGGGAAGAGAAGTGGGGATGCTGCCAAAGGGATGCGCTTTCTAAAAAATTGCATTTATATTTACTATTTATTTGGCCGTGCAAGGTCTCAGTGGTGGCACACAGAATCTTCAGTCTTCTTTGGGGCACACAGCTTCTTTTTGTTGCGGCATATGAACTCATAGCTGCAGTATGTGGAATCTAGTTCCCTGACTAGGGAACCCAGGCCCCCTGCATTGGGATCTTGGAGTCTTAGCCACTGAACCACCAGGGAAGTTCTGGGGTGCACTTTTATGCAGGGAGGATTTAGAGTGTCATCTAAATAGACCTGAAAGGGGCTGACAGAGAGGGCCATGCAGATGTCTGGAGAGCAAGTGGGAGGCATTCCAGATAGAAGGAATGGCAAACACAAAGGCACTGGAGTAGGAACAGTTGTGGTTCAGTTGCCAAGTCGTGTCCAACTCTGCGACCCCATGGACTGCACCATGCCAGCACCCCCGTCCCTCACCATCTCCCAGAGTTTTCCCAAGTTCATGTCCATTAAATCTGTGATGCCATCCAACCATCTCATCCTCTGTCACCCTCTTCTCCTGCCCCCAGTCTTTCCCAGCATCAGGGTGTTTTTTCTCTTCTCAAGAACATTAGGAAACAGCTCCTCCATCTCTCTCCCTCTTCAGGGTCTAGCAAAGTCCTGGC